GACGCTGAGGAAATCTGCAAGATAAATCTCCCAGTCAACGAAACAATGGATCACCTTGCGTGGAACTATGAGAAAAATGGTATGTTCACGGTAAGGAGTGCCTATAAGTTGGGAATGTTTTTGAAGCAGCAGGAAACAACAGCCGGATCATCAAGTAATGCAAGCACTAGAAGGGAAAATCTTTGGAATTTGATCTGGAAAGCGCATGTCCCTCACAAAATCCGTATTGTGGCCTGGAGAATCGCCACTGACTCACTCCCCACAAAAGAGAACAAAAGGAAGAGAACACTTGAAGTTGATAGCACATGTAATATATGTGGCAGAGAGACGGAGGATGCCCAACACGCTGTTCTGAAATGTACCAAAGCTACAGCTCTCCGGGAGGAAATGAGAGAGCACTGGACCTTACCAAGTGAAACTCTGCTTGTTACTCGGGACCCGGACTGGCTACTTCATGCTCTCAGTCTTTGTTCTGGAGACATGCGAGAAAAGCTGCTCTTGGTTTTATGGCGTTCGTGGCATCTTAGGGACGACATTGTGCATGACAAAGGAAAAGCAAAGGTGTCTGACTCAGTCCTATTCCTGAAGAATTATTGGGAAACTCTGAACTCAAACAGTCAAAGTAGAGGTGATGTGAAAGGGAAAAAACCTCTGTACGATGTACAAATGCAATCGCCCACTGCTCAGGAATTGAAGCCGACCATCCGCTGGTCCAGACCACAAGGTGATTGCATTAAGCTTAACATTGATGCTTCCTTTATTTCAGCTTTGAATGCAGCATGGGCAGGGGCAGTCACCAGGGACATCACCGGAGCAGTTGTCTTCTCTGTAGGCCGTCAGCTTCATTCTTGTGCTGATGCAGAGGAAGCTGAAGCTAATGCACTGCTGATTGGTCTTATGTGTTTAAGGGATTTAAACAAGGAACATGTGCAGGTGGAATCGGACTGTGCCGCAGTTGTCGCGGCTGTAAATGCAAAAGAAAGGAACAATGCAAAATGGTGGACTACTTATGAGGAAGCAAAGCTGTGTATGCGTGAATTCAGTTTGTGCAAGGTTAGTAAAGTTAGAAGAGAGTGCAACGTGGCCGCACATGAGTTGGCAGCCCATGCTAGAATGCATGGAGATTTTTTTATGCTGGACAACGTGCCACTGGAAATCTTTCATGTAATTCAGAATGATTGTAATTTTGCTATGAATGAATGAAAGAGCTCTCTTTACCCCTCAAAAAAAACACCAAGAAGAAACACTCCGTTTTAGCCGTTGTTGGATGAAATGGAATGGCCGACCAAAGTGGAATCAACTTGTAGAAGACCTCAAAGCCGACAACAAAAGGTTGAAGAAAAATGATGGCTCAAGCTCCAACCAATCCATTGGATTGGAGGATGACTAGAAAGAAGCTGTTGAGGAGGATGACCGAGCCACCGTGCCAGTGCATGACCAGCAAGTGATGGGAAACAAGTGGGAGAAGAGGAGGGTCGCTTGTGACACCGTGGCGACAAAAATGTCCACCACATGGATGGACATTTTTCCCATAAGGGAGAACAAGAAAGAGGCGAGGTACAAGCTCATGTTGGATGCACAAAAAGAAAGAATGGATTGGGACCTGGAGATGGTGAACAACAAGTTGCAAATTGAGAGCAACAAGTTGGGAATTGAGAAGAAGATCAACATGCATATATAGAGAGTACGAGGACAGGCCGGAACGGATGGCGTCCGGCCAGTGTTCATCACGTTGTCCATCGGTGGCCCATACCTTAAATTTCATTATGGCATGTCTGGATTGTTGAACTGTAAATTGGTTTGCTTTGTTGCGTTGTTGAATTGGGATGAATTTGTGCTATATGATCTATGTGCATGGATTCATGGATTTGGCGGATTGGATATGAGGACTGTGGTTGTCCGGCAAGACATCTGCCGGATCGTCCGGCGCTGTCTAGGATCACGCTCATGGTGTCCATGATTACTTAGCGAGATGGATTTGCTAAGTCCAACCGTAAATGCTGTTATAAAGTGTCAAACTGACTACTTCCCTGGGGGATGTGGCACCACACAGGGCAGGACAGCTGACGTCCAAGAGTGAAATCTGAAGGTACGGTGTGTTGATCCTACGGCGCTGAACCATCCACGGGGACACTGCGCCCCAAGGCAAGGCCGAGCAGAATCTCCTGGAGTGGGTGATCTCAAGGCATGCAGATGCCATTCTAGTTAACTGAGATGTTGTTTTCCCCCTAAAAAAAAAACTGAGATGTTGTTTCTCGAAAAGAAAATCAGGTGTTTACATATTCCTGAATCCTAATTGAACCTACTCCCAGTATCTCTTGCTGTTGTGAGGGATCTAATAATATATTCCACCCAAAAGAGATAGTAGTCTATGCTGTTTCAATTGTGAAAGTAGTACTATTTATGTTCCAATTGTTGCTGAATGCACCACAGAATATTTATGTTGTACGAGTTGTAACCCAAACAACTAAATGCGTCTACATCCATGTATGCACGGAAGGAATAACATTTTTGTTTCCAAATCAAAATGAAGACATAACCTATTTATGCATGCATAAACACAGAAAGGAGAAGAATGATGTTTATTTAATCTCTCTGATTGCAAGTTTTTCAACAGCTACCGAATTAGTCTACTATTACCACTGATTCCACACTGGCCTCAATAGAAAAGGAAAAACTACTACTGCTGACGAATGCCATCGTTGCTGAATGGACAAGTCCTGAGCCTGGGATCAGACCCTGTTTTTATCTTCCTCTGTTTTGGGAGAAACAGAGGAATAATAAGAGAGACAAAACAAACTCCCCCATTGCTTTTTGTTTACCCTTAGAAAAACATGCATAAATGATAGTTCATGATATAGCCTTCATTCTCCATCTGCTCCCGCACACAGCAGCAGCCGCCGACGACAGCAGCAGCCAACGTCGTTGAATGGATAAGTCCTGAGTGTGGCATCAGACCCATTTGTTATTCCTCTGTTTTCAAAGAAACAGGAGAATCCCAAGATGTTTGTTTGCCCCTTCCAAAGAGCATGCCAAACTGCAGTACATGGTGGTTCCTGATGACAGCCTTCATCCTCCACCTGATCATGTGACACTCTCATCTTCCACCTCATCCACCCTTTGCAACTACCAACCGCCGGCTCCCTCCACATCCAGGGTCTGGGGGTCATCGCCCTCTTCTCTTCCATGCCCCTCCGCCCTTCTTTCCATTGTGCCCATGCTCCAGCAGTGAGCGGCAAGACTTCACAAAAGCCGTACAAGAGCAGCATCCTACTGCTGGTAAAGAAACTCTCACCAGTTAACAACTACCTTCGATCTGCTGGCAAAAGGACCGACCAAAAAATCGTAATTAAGCACTCTTCACCATTCTGCCAAGGATGATACGAAATGAACAAAATGCTAGCACACACCATATGGAGGTAAAGAGGATTGGCCTGGTTGGATTCTCATCCTGAAGATGCATTTGCTTCACTGCAGCCTAGGAAGAATGCATGGGGAATAAGCCAATAAGGACATCACAAGGTGAGGGACTTCATATACCCGTCTAAATTCGATGATACTCACGAGTGTGCACAATGCAGTTCAAGAAATATTTTTGCTACTGGTGCAGTAGCACTTGCAACAGCTGAAACTGCATCCACCGGGCAGAACAGTTTGCGCATGGCTGCTGCAGTTGCAGAGGAAAGCCTGATTCAAACATGGCCTTTGCTTCCAAGGAGGCTGCTCTACATAAATAAGTAAAATCATATACAATTAGCATCATATCTACCAACGGTATTGCATCTGATTGAAATGGGAAACAAACAATAAGAGTGAGGCATTTGCAGATTCATCACCAACCAGACAAAGTCTATATGTAAGCAGTCGTGGAGCAAGTAAATCTTTTCGACAAGTGACATTCTAATTTAGTGTTGACTGGTCAGAAGCTACTACTGCATTAATTGTTGATTTCCATGCAAATGAAGAACATGTTGGGCATACCTATTTAACGATAACAGTGACCTGAATTGCCTCCAATAGTGCACTGGCATCATGTCCGGCGTATTCTTCTGAAGACCCTTAAACATGAATTGCCTCCAATAGTGCACTGGCACGATAACACTATTAAATTACATTAACAACAACGATTACAATGAAGGCAAAAATATTACCTAATACTGTAGAATGTAGACTCAGTTGAAAAACTGCAAAACTTATTAGTAGCACAACACAGAAATCTCACTGTTTTCCACAAGTATGCCAATAATGATCTTTCGATCCTTAAACATGAACTTCCCCGGTAAACCACCAATTCTTCGTGAGTTTTCGAAAAAATGTAAACACAAGTGACCAGAAGCTACCAGAACAAACATAGGAACTCCTGCACATCAAGCCAACAAAAATGATAAATAGAAGAGTATCTGGTATTTATAGCAATGCGGCAGTGTGAAGAGACTGCTCACCTTAACATCAATAGAATGATCCCAAAGTCTCATTTGTATTCCATGCTCATGCCATACTGATATGTTGATCCTGACACTCAGACGGGCCAAGTAGACTACCAAGTCTCGATGACTGTCAAGAACCCAAATTTAAACGCAAAATGTGATCCTGAGGAACACGAACGAACACCTACACAAAGAACCAAAATAAATGGTAATTACATGACAGCTTTTGCAATTTTCATTTAGGAAAAAAAATAAAAACTTGCAAAATTGCAAAAGGCACTGACTGCAAATTGTTAAGAAGTGGAAGTTGACATAATTGGTACTGTACATAAGGAGTGAGGTTCTACTTTAGATGTACTTACTAGATTTATGTACATGAAGGAAGATGGCCACAAGATCCCCATGTCATGCATGTGTGCAAAGAATTGAGTTGCACAAGGCTAGAAGAATGTACAAGGGAACTCCAAAGCAGAGGCCTGCGTGCATAGTAAGATGGAAGCAATAGTGATGCGAATTAATCCAAGAAAAGGGTGAGGTGGAAAACACAGTCAAATATAATTATGTTACCTTGGATCAGTCTAGCATGATTTTTGGAATGGTTCCCACTAACCCCCTGCACTGTTGTTTTAGCTCCTTGTTGCCACACCAGCAGACACTTAATTCTTCCAGTGATATGGGGAGGCCATCCTTGGGCAGTGACCGGATGGCCGGACATGAATCGACCTCTAATCGCTTGAGGTTGGTAAGCTTGTGCAGCCCTGCAGGGAGGTGCTGAAGCTTGTCAAATCTCAAAAACTCGAGTTGCTGGAGCGAGGCGAGGAGGCAAAGGGCGTCCTCTTGCTCATTAGTGAAGCGCTCCATTTTACAAGTCCCAGAAAGGTCCAGGTGAATGAGGGAGGAAGACAGGAAGCTGCAGATGGGCACATCAAGGAGTCCCATGGCCTCGTCCGTCCGGAGCTTTTGCAGTTTGGATGAACACAGGGGGGAAACAAGCTGGTGCAGTTCCTGCTCTTCTCCTCCTCCATCCTGCAGCACCCGCATGGGATTGGGATCCCATCCAGCAAAGAATCTAGGGCTGCCATAGATGATTAATCTCCTGAGCTGTCCCCCGGCAGTAAGGAGAGGCCCCAGGCCCTTGCATATTAGATCATTTCCACAAGATTTCAATATTAATTCAGTGAGGGAGCTGAGGTTTGAGAGTGGCTCCAGCGTCCCCATGCCTTCCACACCATTAAGTTCAAGGTGTTGCAGGGAGGATGGAAAAGGGCAACAGTAAGGAGAGGAAAACGAGCTCTTGGCGGATAGGAAGAACTTTGGGCTGTCGAAAATCCGTAACCTCTGGAGGGATCGCAGTGCTTGGAGGCCTCCTCCTCCCCTGACAGGAAGAACAATTGAAGGGTTGTCAACTAGGACCAGCTCTGGGCAAAAGCGGATGTACAACTCCCGCACTGAGTCAGAGAGATTTGCCGAGAAGAGGAGCAGCCCATCTTCATCTGACGTTGTTTGTTGCATATCCACCCCCACTGCCAGTTGTGTTATATTTTTACAATTTCTGATTTCCAATTGGGAGAGCCTTGGGAGGTGCGTGAGAAGCTCTGTCAAGTCCTTACCACTAGCAGCACCATGTAAATCCTGGACCACAAGATGCTCAAGAGGGTGTTGCCATTCCACATCACCTTCGCCACCTGCTGGCACGACCACACTATCTAATTTCTCTGCAACCAATTTCTTCAGTGAGGTTAGCATCAAAAGGTGGTTCAGCTCCAGAGGTGGGCACTCCACGAGATTCAGTGACTCGAGGCCTACCAGTTTATTGAATGCTAGCACTTGGTCTAAGCTTTGCAAATCATCCTTCCCAAAAATATACACAGAGGATGACTTTGAGTCGTACGAAAACATCTGTAGTAGCTTCACACCTCGTATTTTAACAGAACTCAATGTTTCAGTCCAGGGGATAGGCACCAACAAGAATTCTGGACAGTCCTCTATTTGAAGCTCCTGCAATTCAGGAAAACAATCAATGTCAGTGTGGTTTGAAAATGGCAACTCCAAGAGTTTAAGGCAGTCTCTAATAACCAGGACTTGCAAAAGAGGAAACATATGTTGAGTGTCATGTGATAGTACCCAATTTTCAAAACATCCCAAGCCAACAAGTTCAAGCCTTATTAGCCTGCAAAAGCTTTGCTCTATAACAAACTGCTTTATTGTGGCAATATACTCCAATACTAGTTTACGAAGATCAAACATCTTCCCTAAAGAAGGGAGACATTGCCAAGAAACACCAGAGAGATGAAGAGATTGAAGAGCTTCAACGGCAAGATCATCCCCCAGCCATGTTGGACAAGAAGGGCATCCATGCCCTTTGATGCACAACTCTTGAAGGTATCTATGTGGTTGAAGGCTCTCAAGGACAACTGCTTCCATAACAGGCTCGGTATTAGACCGCCTACTATCCCAATCTAATGTTAACCTCTCCAGATAGTTTTTCTCCATCAAATTTGCTTTGGATGCTTCTTCTTCTGTCTGCATATTCTCAAGGTTATAGATGCCAAGCTCCCGTAATTCAGTCAAATGCTCTAGTTGCTTTGGTTCAAATCCTTCACTTTCTTTACTTACTCTAAATACCTTCAACTCTTCTAAGAGTCTGAGATTCCCCACATTACAGATACCTGAATGAAGCTCATCACTTGGGGTATAAAAATGATGCAATTTTGCAAGGTTGCTCAAGTCTTTGGGTAAATCACAACAACTGTACCACCAACCAAGATCCAAAATCCTTAAATGATAAAGTCTAGAAATGGCAAGTGGCAAATGAATCTCCCTACCATACTTTGTCCCCAAACATAGGTATCTTAGGTGGAGAAGTGCTGAGAAGTTATGCAAAATGGACTCCACAGAATATGGCATGTCAACTAAATGGAGAACACGAAGAGCATTTGCTTCTCTAAACAAATCACCCAAAACGTTCGCAATACTTTCATCTGTTTTTCCAAATAACATCAAAGTATGCAACTGTTTAATATTCAACATTGTCTTCAGCTTTCTCAGTTGAATCTTGAAGTTTTTATGAGACACTGTATCATCATCTATAATGATAGACAAGTGACGAATGGATGGTTGAACTTCAACTGATCCCACGTTGGAGCTATACAAACAAATACAATCATGAGATGCAACTTGCAATGCTAAATCATGTAGCAGGTCATGCATGACATAATATGAATGACCATTAGTTTCCTCTTCTCTGAAAAATCCATGTGTGGCCAAATCTTTTAAATTGCTCAAACCTATATCTTCAAATGTTTGGTTTCGAGCACCAAGTTGTAAGATGTCTAGTCCTATCCACAAGTTGATCAGCTGGCTGCTACTGAAATGAAAATCTTCAGGAAACAATGCAGAATAGGTAAAACATTGTTGCAGATGAAAAGGGAGATAGTCATAGCTAAGCTTCAAGGCAGGCATAATTTCATTAACACCGGTCTGCCTCTCCCATTCTTTACTTTCTAGGACCCTTCTCCAATGACGCAAATTAAGGTCCTTCCTCAGTAATCTACCAACAGTTTTTGCTGCAAGTGGTGATCCCTTCAGTTTTAGCATAATCTTTTCTCCAATTTGAAGCAAAAAGGTGTGATCCCTTCTACATTGATCATCACCAAAGACAAATGCATGGAATAACTCCCTAAAATATTTAGATTCTATACCTTCCAACTGTATTGGATGGTCAGCTGTTCTAACCATCTTTGCTATTGCTGGAAACCGAGTTGTGACTAGAATCATGCTACCATTTTCTTGTGATTTTTTTAGTGGTAGTAATAACCTTTCCCAGTCATCCTCATTACTACACCCCCATATATCATCCAATACAAGCAAGAACCTTTTCGATTTTAATCTCTGTTCAATCAACTCTTCGGCTCTACCATTTTTTTCACCTTCAACTGGAGGGATATTTGTTTTAATCTCCTCTAGCAGCTTATTCAAATTGAAACTGAGCGACACACATACCCAAATAAGTACTTGAAAATGATTTTGAACTTGTTGCTTTCTGTATATGTGTTGTATTAGAGTTGTCTTCCCTATTCCACCTGGACCGACAATCAGAAGCACACTCAATCCCTTTCTATTGTATTTGCCCTTGGTCATATCATGTATGATGGTATTCATGATATGGTCCCTCCCATATAGTTTTGGTTCTATACTCTGACTAGTGGTGATGAGACGAGTCTGGGCAATATCTGGGACAGTCATACGGTCACAACACTGCAGAATCTTGGTAACTTCTTTACGCACAGGTTTCATTTGCTCTACAATGTGCTTCATTCTTTCAGACACATCAACCCTATTAAACCTCAACATTGGTGTTTCTTCCACATGCTCTCTTTCTGGTGCACCACAAAGAGTTGACTGGCCATAATTATAATCGTGAACATGTGAAGAAGATGAGCAAGGGAGGAGTTTACCAAGCTTCGGCATGCGTCCATTGACCTCCTCCTCATAAACCTGATTGGCGTTTGGTGTTGAGGCATTGTCGCGTGGCCTCTTCCTAGCATGTGACCAAGCACAACCAAGCTGTTTGCAACAACCTTTCAAGGTGTGATGAGCATTGAGAGCAAGGTCGTGGATGCCGCCCTTGGCATGCTGGTCCACGGCATCGTATGTGCCATGGAGCTCGTCGTGGATGCGAAAGTAGTCCAGCTCATCCAACAAATCCTCTGCACAGTGCGCCGAGTGCCGCAACTTCCCCAGAAGCTTCTCCATGGCCTCACCACCGATCTGCTTGCGACTGGCGGTTTCGAGCGTGGCCTGCACGAGTAGCAGTTCCATCTGCAGGGCCTCAATGTTGAGTCCCAAGTTGTTGGTAGCATCCCAAGCCTTCAGCAAACCATCGGCAATGGGGGTCAGGGCCTTGCCCACCACCCATTGCGCCGTGCTGAGGAGCACGTTCATCCTCTCGTCCTCCTCTGCAAGCCGATGTATCAATGATCTGCAATGTGAGGACCTGAAGGAATCAAGAGAAATTCAGTGGATAATGCACAGCAAGTACGTAGAAGTAAATAATACTCTCTATGGAGAAAATTAATTATACTTGTAAATTATTGCTGTCAAGTACCTGCAGGAGCAGAAGCAGCAGAGGAATGAATAAATAGCAGGCAGTCGTTGCTAGCGCCAGTCTTGAGAGGGCATGCGCATCAGCATATACGCCTGAATTTCCTAATTATCTCCGACCAACGCATCGCCATGGATCAACACTAAATTTTTTTTACTGATCGGCTTCAGACCTCATGCGGCGGTCTTCAAGGTGCAAGCGCATCAACCTGCAAATGACATTGTTTTTAGTTTCATAGTTCACCATGCCTTCCAATCCACCAAGCATAGGTTGGAAGCATTCTGACGGGAAACATAAAGCTTCGAGGACAGACGTACTAGAGTATCCTAGATTACTCGCCCAATTAAGCATAGATAGGTTCAGATTAAGAAGGTGTGGTAGTTACCTGGAGATATATCCAAGAGCTGCTGCCTAGTCTTCCCTGAGGTATACAATCTATGGGAAATCGGGGATGATATTGGTGATTCCAGATCTTCTGAATATATACAAGGGAGTCACGGAAGGTATAAAAGTTTCTCCTTCATTCTCAATTATTGCTCCTACAGGCATGCAAGGACAGACTATAGTATCCTAGATTACACGCCCAATTAAGCTGAGATAGGTTCAAATTAAGCGAGCTGGTACGATAGTTACCTGGAGATATATCCAAGCGCTGCTGTCCAGCCTTCACGAAGGTATACAGTCTAGGGGAGAGAGGGGATGATATTGGGGATGCCAGATCTTCTGAAGATATATACAAGGGGAATATGATGGAAGGTACTATACAACTTCCTCCTGCATTCTTAATTATTGCTCCTACAAGTTGGCCTCCGGAGAAAGTTCAACTGTCGTTAGAGAGTTGACAAAAGCAGAGAATGTCATTACACTATATACAGTATGTCTGTAGTCTGACTAGTTACAAATACAACAGCAATCATGACGCGGTACCGACCGACGGAGAAAGTACTGTATTTGGTGACAAGCCCCACCATTAATTGGAACATTGCAAAGTTTATACATCATGTGATAAAATATGGCTGCAATGCATCGATTGATGCAGAAGGCCGGGATCATCCTGAATCCAAATCAACACCAACATACTGTACTGGGGAGGTAGACTACATGTGCCGACCTGATCAAGTGGTCGAGTTAGGCAGAAGGTACAAGAAGAGGGGAAAAAAAGAGTAGTTGCGCTTATAATCTACTCTATCCGTTCCTAAATATTTGTCTTTTAAGAGATTTCAAATGGACTACCACATACGGATGTATATAGACATATTTTAAAGTGTAGATTCATTTATTTTGCTCCATATGTAGTCACTTGTTAAAATCTCTACAAAAGACAAATATTTAGGAACGGAGCTAGTATCTATCTATGCGTGTCCATCTCAACCATTGCAAACAAATTAGTTCTAATCCCAGTTGTCTGTGCTGTCTGCTTGAAATTGAAATGGTAATATGCGGTGACAAAATTAGCAAACCGCGTTTTGTTAATGATTGGAAAAAATAATCACTAACAGTTCATGATTCTTTGGTTGGTAAACTGTGAGAATTCTTGAAATCCATCTGCTCTGCTCCCATGGCTTCTGCTGAATAACACGGTGACTTCTGAAACGAAACCAGCGTTTTGATTTTCGGCCGAAAAAACTAAATTTCGGCCGAATTTCGGCCATCTCGCCTGGGCCCGGTATATGGGCCTTTCGTCCGAATTATTTGGCCCAGTTTGAATTTATTTGCCCGGCCCAGCTTCTAGGGCCTTCATGTTACGCTTCTGCTCATATAAAAGCACGAACGCAAATGTCCCAACCCTAGAATCGCTGTTTTTCCTCTCGCTCCTCCTGTGGGCGGCGCCGCCGCTGCGCACAGAACACATCCTCGCCAGCGTAGCTTCTCCGGCGTCCGGCCAACGCGCTCACTAGCCTCCCGCCTTCCTCCACATCTCCTCGCCTCCACCCCATCCAGTTCGTGCCATTCGCTGCTCCAAGACAAGGGCATGGCGCTCGGCGGCTGCGGTAACGAAGCTGATGGTGCACGAGCCAACCATGGAGGCAGTAGCACGGGGCAGCGACAGCAGCATGGAGGGCGTCCTCTTGTTTGGGAAGGTACAAGCTTTCTTGATGCGTATACATCTCAATCAAGTACGTAGATGCAGTTTCAGTTTCAGTACGTAGATGCAGTTTCAGTACTTGTGCTTCTTTAGATGAATGAGAGGCTGCAATATCATACAGGGGTAAGAAAAACTCGCTCTTGATGATTTGAACAGAGTAGTGGCATCATTAATCTGAAATACACATGCATCTTGTAGTCACCAAGGATCCTGACAATGTTTTGACTTGGTATATAATCTGAAACGTACATGCATTTGGTAGTCAGAAAGGTTGCCCACGATCTGGTAATAGAAAAGTGGTTACAACCAGTGGCTTGTGCACAAAATTAAAGCTTTTATTATCACATCCAACCACTGGCTTGTATATTTGCAGAAGCATCCCATGTTTGAATCGATCATTTATTTAGATCTACAACGCGTCCAATATAAACTTCAGTTGTGTTTGTGTATTTAACTAAGTAGTTGTTGACCACTGATTAATTTCAATGTCCAGCGGTACTAGAGCATCAGCTTGTATATAAATTATTTATTCCTTAGTATCTAAACTAGATAATCTGTCTGTACTGTTTTTGTTCCTCATTCATATCAGGACACCCTAGTAAGAAAGGTTTGCTTTCTTAGCTGTCTACTCTTTATAACTGACCGTCGTTCTTTTGTCATGTGATTTTCAGGTAATGGAACTGCAAATAGGAGTGGCAGCGGCGACCAGGATGCAAATGGAAGTGGTTCCCAAAGACCTTGGAAAGGTATTACTATGCTTTGCTTGGTCACACGATGCTATTGGAACCATGATCTTTATTTGCTAGGTTCAATTAAACTGATGTTTGTAACCTTGCAATGCAGGACTTAAAGACAATAACTTATATGATTCAGGTTTCTGATTCAGGTTTGTTACTTAGAAAAATCTAGCTTGATGTATATGTTCAAAGCGGCTGATCTTTAAATAGCTTGATGTATATTGCTTTCTTTAAGTAGGTTGATCTTTAATTGTTCTCGTGCTCTAATGTTTATGCTCACTGTGTATGATTAGTACTGCTGTTCTAATTGCTCACCTAGTAGTGTTGCTGTAATTGATACTTATCTTCTTGTATTGTTGCTATAATTGCTACTTATCACATACCAGTGATGTTCTAGTTGCTACCAATCACTTAGTAGTGTTGTTCTAATTGCTACTTAACACAGTATTTTAGTTGCTACTTGGAACTGCTAGTTACTTAGATGTATGCACTCTGTATCATGACCCTTCCTCTGTTTTCTCCAAACCAGAAATGGCACATGAGCAAAGGATATCAAGAAGCTTTTGGATGTTGGGAAGCTTGGAGCTGATGCTTCAAATAAGCTGATGGTTGTCTTTTGGAGATGTTTCTATGTTTAATGCTTTAAAGTCTTTTGGCTGTACTGGACTATTTAAACTTTGAACTATGCTGTGATGGTTGAACTGATGCTGGACGGTTAAGGGTTTATGTCAGAGGCAACTTTATAACTAATGTGTGCCTGTTATGTTGGACTGTTAAGGGTTATGTTGGAGGCAATTTTATAACTAATGTGTGTCTGCTATGTTGGATTGTTAACTGTTATGTTGGAGGCAACATTATAGCTAACGTGTGCCTGTTATGTTGGGCAGATTCAATTTTCTTAATCCCTAGAGCTTATTTGCTAAAGTTTATAAGATCTCTCCTGATGGTTGTTGTGCTGATATGTTTTGCTCTATTTTATTTAAAGTTTTGTTCAAATTTCGGCCGAATTTCGGCCAAATTTCGGTTAAATTTTGGCCAAATTTTCAAATTTTGATTTTGCAATTTCGTCCGAGATTTTGCCGAATTTTTTGAAATTCCCGAAATTCGGCCATTTCGGCCAAGGACGAAAAAAAACACAAACCGAAAATCATTTCGCAGAACGAAACACCGATTTCAGCTACAGCATACCTTCGCGAGGCGGAGAGGAGAGTGGGCATCTGGTCGGCGCCGCCGAGGAGATGCCGCCGGCGACTTGCCAGCCTCCTCCTTGCTCATTCTCTGTGTGGTTCAAATCCCCCTCCCGCCTTCCTCCTTGCCCTTGCCCGCCCATTGTCGCTAGGGTTGGGATCTTGAGTGAGGGATAGCAGAGGCGGCGGCGGAGGAGAGGGAGGGGGAAGCGAGGCTAGCAGGGGAGGGGCAGACCAGGGCCGGTGGACGCCGCCACCGCCGCCGTCGCCGTCGCCCGGAGCAGTAGAGCTCAGAGCGAGGGGAAGGGGCCGGCCAGCGAACCACACAGAGACACACGCCACGGAATTCAGGGTGGACGCGGTCCGGGCCGGTCCGGTCCCTGACCGAGCCTCCCTTTGGAGTATAGCTGGCCAAACGGGCCGGGCCGGCCCGGCCCGGCCTGACCCATGCTATACATGCCTGGCACGGCCCGGCCCGCGACGGCACGAATACTAGCCGAGCCGTGTCATGCCGGTCCACGGGCGGGGGGTTGGAGCCCAAGCACGGCAGCCGTGGCTAGCTCGTCTCTTTTGATGTGTGCTGCTCTGTGCCTAGTAAGGATGTTTACTGGACCATGGCAGGCAATGCGCAGCGGCTTACCACATCTTTTGCACCATGCTTTTATCTCGGATTTTCTACCGTCCATAACTACTTCAACATAATAGTAGTCCTAGATTCTGGAGCCTCTCTCATCCATTTTTGTATTGTGTGTGTAAAATGACATGCAGTTTGAGACTTTTGAGTGTGAGAAATGAGAACTTGAGAAGGGCCGGCATCCCTTTTTATAGGA